TCGATATTCCGACAGGAAATCGATCGATGAATAGTATAGTGTATCGACCGATATTCGGACTAAATCATCGCTCGACACTGTCAATTGCGACCTTCCAGATATTAGACTTATTTATTCAAATGAGATTAATAAATTTGTTATTAAGATAGTTAATACTCTTTAATACCATGCAAACAACTAGATAGCACATATAGGATTATAATCTACAACACCTGAATAGAAACCTTAGATCTAGCAACCATCCTTCCATAAAACAAACCCTTGCCAAGCTGAACAATTGTTCTGTTCATCTTGTTTACAGTTTTATTCACTGCTTGATTATTTACTGCTTTATTATTTATTCACTTTTTATTATTTATTTATCTAGATTATTCATAACTTTTTAGATCTAAATGGTTCCCTAGCTCCTCGTGATTCGATCCCTAAGTACTACAACTGGACCTCTAAAATGAGAGAGTAATTTACTCCTTAGGATAATTTTAGTGATATCAAAAATGGTGCCGTTATCGGGGAGCTTTGATCGCCATTAGATTTTATTTAGTTAGATTTAGTCTAGGTTTTACTTTTGTTACAGAAACTCATAAATATTTGTCTTCTATTTCAGGTACATACATCTCAGTACCAGAAAGCAATGAAGAGAGGATTTCTGAGTCCTTCAAGGAAAGAGCATGCGGGTCTATGCATGATCCGTAAGCCTATGCGGGAAGAATCGATCGACACTTTGCAAGCAACATCGATCGACAGCCTAACACAACAAATTGATCGACAACCAAACCCGTAAATCGATTGATACTGTTTCCGGTCAGGTTTATCTTTCTTCCTTGTTAAATTGAGTCATTTTGATTTAATTCTTCAACATCACTCCGTCTGATTTACACTGGGGACATTGTAATTTAAGTCTGGGGGGATGTTTACTGATATTTTTTACTGTGAGTCTTATTAATATCGTTTTCAAAAAACCATTTTTATTGAGCTCAAGAAGAGGATTATGATTGTTTTATTTTTTTATATTATCTAACCACACTATAGCACCATTCTTAGATTTGTTGACAGTAGAGTATACTAGAGATACTTAAGTGGACCATCCTACCATTAGATTACACTTGCTTAGAAAGTTTGAAGGAAACGAAGCTGACCTCCAACCCTAATCTGACTAATCTATTTGCTGTGGGGCTTGGTATACATTGGATCAGATTCCTCTTTCAGGTCCGAAAGGTATAAGTCTGTAAAATTTTGGTTTCTTGCTCTCCTCTCTTCAGCATTTAGAAAAGAAAAGATTGAAATGATTTCCTGAGATGTAGAGGGGTAGATACATTACCAATAACCCCATTATTCTAATTCAAATGAATGATCACACATTGTAAAGCGAGGGGTATGAACATTACCGATGACCCCACTATTCGCCTACACTTTTTCAAAATATTTTATAAAAAAAATCAATAAAGGTGAACGAGATGGAAGGCATTAGTACCTGTCTAAGTTCACTAGCATTGAATTAGAAAAGATTCAGAGAAGAGGGATATAGGGAGAAAAGAAACCAGAATATGACTACATGTTTACTCAGATACCTGCTGGAGTAAAAGTCCAAGTATCCTTTGATTCATACTCCTAAGGTAAAGCCTGCATTTTATTTTATGTAAGAAATGAGGTTACTAGAGGGGTGAGTTAAGCTAGTATTTGCTAAGTTGCAGGTAGATTGGATTTGGTTGCTAAGCTAGGATAGGGTATATAAAGTATCTCTGAGGTTAGCACTTATTTGATGTGGTTGCAACATAGTAGAGGTGATAGTAGTAACTTAAAGATTTTGTGAGTCCCTGCGATTTCAAACCTCTTTCAGAGAGACTGCATGTTTGCTTTGCTTGAGACAAGCAAAAGGGTAAGTATGGGAGAGTTGATATACCATGGATTTTACTCATTATTAGCCATGGTATATAAGTTTGTAAGATATATTTATTATGTTTTGGAAATGTTTTAGAGTATTTACAATTTCAGGTACGTTCTGGAGAAATAAGGTGATTTTGGTGTCTTTTGGAGTCTTTGGAGTGCAGGACTGCACATACACGTCAGATGTTTAGCTATAGATGGAGACCTTCACACCGTTATATTTTTTTCCTATCTTTTTACACAAGTTATTTCTTTGAGTTAGATTTACAATCCCACCGGTTTGATGTCAATCAGCATCCTGTAGCAGAAGTTATGCCCGTTTTACTGAAGAGTGGTCATTCTGCCTCACAAGAGGAAGCTATCGAGAAGTTGAGGAAGAATCGATCAACGCAAGACTATGTGTGTTGATCGATGGAGGTCCCAAAACGCGGGCCGAGTATATTTCAAAACCGACTTGAGCTCAGGAGTTACCACAAATTACCAGAATGCTCTTGGACGACCAAAAACCCTATTTATTTGTTTTGTAAGCCATTGTTGACGGCTAAGCTTCTTTTGATTCATTGTTGTAAATTCGAGGAGAGAAGGGAGGAACTCAATCTAAGTCCTCCTAGAACTCCTTTGGTTTATCATATTTTATATCTATTGCTTTTATATTTTATCTATTCTATCTATTATTTTATGTGACAAACTTCATGTTAGAGTAGATCCACCTGTTTGGTTTAGGGTTCAAATAGGTTAAAGGGATTAGCACCAACTATAGGCTTGCTTGTTGTGGTATTCATTAATAGGATGTTCTTTATGCTCATGTTCTAGAGTAGCTAACTAGAAACCTGAATCTTGGATTACTTAGGTTGGATTAGAAACATTTACGCAATTCTAATAGTCCTGAACACATCCTGGTTAAACTAGGATTGCTAGAAATACAGCGACAATTTGATCTAGAAATCTTTAGTGAGTCTTTGTTAACTTGCGTGTAATGCTTGACCGGACTCATCGATCGATATTCTGACAAGAAATCGATCGATGATGAGTATTGTATCGACCGATATTCCGACTAAATCATCGCTTGACACTGTCAATTGCGACCTTCCAATTATTAACCTTTTATTCAAATGAGAGTTTAATATATTTGTTGTTAAGATAGTTAATACTCTTTAATACCATGCAAACAACTAGATAGCACCTATAGGATTATAATCTCGAACACCTGAATTGAAACCTTAGATCTAGCAACCATCCTTCCATAAAACAAACTCTTGGCAAGCTGAACAATTGTTTTTATCATCTTGTTTACTGTTTTATTCACTGCTTGCATTAGTTACTGCTTTATTATTTATTCATTGTTTTATTACCTATTTATCTAGATTATTCTGTTTAGATCTAATTGGTTCCCTAGCTCTTCGTAATTCAATTCATAAATACTACAACTGAACTTTTTTATTTGAGAGAGTAATTCACTCTTTAGGATAATATGAGTGATATATCAATTTTCTCTTCTTTTTTTTTCTACTTTTTAAAATTTTCTAATTGACTAAGATTAATAAGGGGCCATGTTTCATAGGAGAACATAAAGTTACATGTGAGGTAGCTGGAAAAAAATTAACTTGGGAGTCAACCTGAGAAAAAGCAAATTTGTATTCTTCCATCGTGAGTTCCATGTGGCTCATCATCACTTCCGCATCAGTTAGAAGATCCGCAATGCCACGCATACGTTTACTCTTCAGATACAACTCCACTTGAGGGTTTAACACAAATGTTATCCGTTGCTTCTTGTAACTCTTTTAGAGTCAGTGTCCCAAAGTTGTCTTTGTCTGCTTTGCTAAATATTTTTGAGCAATCACACATCACATCCTTATACCCGAATCCATTCATCAGTTGCTAGAGCTCGTCTATTACCCTGCAATTGCATAGTAAGTTTCTTAGAGCAAGATGATGAAATATGTTTGCTAGGACAAGACGAGTTCCAGTACCAGTTGACCAGACAAAGCTTCCTTAAGGAATTGTGGACACCTTTCCTTCTTTGGTTTGGCAGATACTTTTCTCATTCACTTTGGTCACCATGGAGCCAAGTTTCACATCAATACCATCACTGCTAAACTTTTCTTCGGCAAACTCAATGATTCTCTTGTCAAAACAGTTTTTCATATGAATTCATTATACAAAGTTTTGTTTTGAAAACATGAAACTTAAAGATTGACCATGACATCTATACTATTAAAAGAGAAACATTCTTAAAAAAATCTATTTAAACAAAGTTGTTGCTTCCTTTCATTTACTAATAATATTAGGTGATTTTCCCGTGCTCATGCACGGATGTAAATATATAAAAATAAAATGTTATAAAATTATAATATTTATTTTTTAGTTTTAGTTATTTAATAGTATATATGTATGATTTTAGTTTTTCAATAATATTATATTATTTTAACTAAACATGTTGTTTGGCTATATAATATCTAATCAATTTGGTTATTATTTGAGTATATTAAATTGTATTTAATTCTCCAAAGTTTAATTATAGTATTTATTTTGTGCTCAAATATATTTAAATGTTGATATTCTTTTTTTCTTTTTGTATTTAGACTTTTCATTCTAAGCATAAAAATTTAGATGGTATAAATTATTTATATTGAGTTACATTATTTCTTCAAATCGAAGCACTGTTACTTTTGGTTCTAGGATTGGATCTCGCTAGATATTGGCTCTTCTTCGGGTCTCACTACTTCACTGTTCAAGGGCTCAAGCGATAGAACCAGCATTTCCGCCATTGATTTCTTTCGTTGTTTCGGTTTTTATTGCATATAAATTACTTACCCCCATGTACGTTACTTTTACACCCATGTAAAAACAATCTTTAGGACAAAAATGAGGTTTACACGGGTATATGTCCCTTTGATCACATTGCAGATTTTTTTTTTTTTGTACCACCCACACCGTATCTATAAAATTCAAAGTTAATTTGTTCAACAATTACTCAAAAAAGTAGGAATTGCTTAACTTTAAAAAGATTCAGTAGCACATGATAAAGACATAAGCAAAAAAAATCAAACCAAAAAAACAAAAAAAAAACCTATTTTGTTTATTTTTGTTCTAAGCTTGAAGCATGTAGCATGAAACTAGACCGAAGAAACCAAGTTCTCCGTATACAACACAGTTCTACGGTGTTCATTACTGACATGCTCCAAAAAGTTCTTATGTGGCTCATTTCTCCTACGCCTAAGATAACAAGCCGCAAGACCAAGCTTCCAATAATTTGGATCTAAACAATCCATACTTGACATGTCAACAGAAAGGATCTTTACCCACTTAACACTCGGATCTTCATGCTGCAAACACCAAACGTACATATTCGGATGCTGTAGCACATCAGATAGGCATAAACGTTCTCTTAGGCTCCATATGTACACACTTTGTGAGTGTTCGGTGTACCAACATGGTAATAACACATCACGGAATTTTTCAGTGTGAAGATCTATGGCTCCAAGCTTTGGGAGTTTCTTCCGGAAACCATAATATGACGTTTCCAGCCATGACAGCCAAAAAAGCGAGCCATTGGCAAACACTGATAATTTATCGTTGCTAAGTTCATCGTAGAAAAGGGGGAAAATGGTGTATCCTCGTTCCTCAGTGTTGAGGTTGAAGACTTCGGCCTTGACAATATTATCATCAAATAAATACATCAAGACTACTTTGTATGCTCCTGTAACGATGTCTCTTCCAAATCCCACACTAATTGGCAACTCACCCGGCCAACCTAATTAGGAAAAAGCAGACATTGTCGAAAATAAAATATATTTATAACTATATGTCAGCTACTTCTAATTATGTAAAAACTAATCAATAAACGTTACATTAATATGATACACAAAAATTTATAAATGGAAGTTGTTTCATACCTGACCGGCCTGTGTACTCTAGCAAAACCGTAGGAGAAAGGATCCGGAGACTTCTCGTTGCAGGGTTAATCAGATAAATGTACCCAAAATCGTAGATGCAGACTAAACCATTGCAATACCCCGTTATCCAACCAATATTGTCATCGACATTATTGGTTGGATATGGATGTGGGAACTGATAAGTATAAATGATGAGTTTGTGGTGGTCGTGGTTATCTTTTGAAATATTCTCCAAAAATATGGTTCTTGAACAGCGATCAGTAGACATTTCCAATCGAAGAACAAGGAGTCTCGGATTTGGATACCGAGCAAGACGTTTCTTGGCCAGATAGCTGGACTCGATCATTGATTTCCATTGTTTTGACACAGATTTGAATCTACATATGGACTTCTCAGGAAGACGCTCGAGAAGCCAGCCTTCTATTATATGATCTGTAATTACAACTTGAGCAACACGAGGTCTTTCCTGGTTGTGTGAGTTGTTTTGAACATCTTCCTCTTCTTCTTTTATCAGTTGCCTGTGAGGTCCTTCCTCCTCGTTGAGTGAGTTGTTCTGAACATCTTTCTCTACGTCTTTTATGTGTTGCCTGCGGGATACATTGTTCGCAGATAACCACTTCTTAAGATGAGAGAAGTCAGGAGGTGTAGGAACTTGTGCATCTGTCGCCAAAGTTTCCCAAGTAGTACTGGTGTTCGGCTCTCCCATTGAAAAGACAATTACAGTTCAAGATTTTTTTTTTTTGTGCGTTTGGTTAAAAGAAAAACATGTTTTATAGAAGAGAATGTTTTGGGAAACTTTTTTTTTGGTTTTATGTGTATCTCACAAGCTACTCTAACCTAATTGCCTTAAACAAATAACAAAATAAAGGAAAGAAAATAATGTGTAATATATCATTCTAACATCTATCTATATATTGATATCATTATTATAATTGTTATTGTTGATCCGGTATTCCTTTTTTGCATATAAGGCAGTAAAAGAGCGCCGGTGATTCTTTGAAAATTTGGATGAAGATATGACAAAGTTTTTACATATTAAAATTATAATATTTGATATATTAAATTAAATATTAATTTTTAAAAAACTTTTACTATGACAAAGTTTTTCAATACAGTAAAATTATATTTTAATTCGTAAAATAAATTTTAAAACATTAATATATATACATAAAATGATATACAATATATATAGGGATTTATCTTTTATAATTTAAATTTTTTTTAAAAAATTTATGTAAAATATTTTTCAATAATTCAACATAAACTATTTTTAAAGAATGATAATTATAAAATCAATGAAATTTATTTTTATTTATGGTTAATTATAAGTTAACAAATATACTTATTTATTAACGTTAATGAAGCTTTATAACATCATATAAATTATTTTTAGATAATTATAGTTAGGTGTTTTGCCTGCACATGCGAGCATAATTTTCTTTTTAGTAATTAAAGAATCAGCATAAGAGGTTACAGTTTATATTGTCAAAGAAAATAAATTAAACATTAAATTAAGGAAAAATTGCCAAATATGACTCAAAACTTGATTTGAAATGCAAAAGTAAATCCAAACTTAAATTAAATGAAAAAGTAACTTAAAAGGCTATTGAAATTACAACCAACCCCTTGTGAACAAACAAAAAAAGAGTATTTTTTTTTACGTTTCTAGCCCTCGCAAGTCGTCTGGGATAGTTTTTCTTAAAAATAATTTAAAATTTGTGTAAGAATATCTTGATAAATAAAAAAATTAGATTATGTAATTAACATCTATACTATTAAAACAGAATCTCTTATAGGATTGTACCCTTTTTTATAGAGATAATTACAATATCATGCCATTGTTATTTTTAGAATTCTTAAAAAATAAATTTCCCCAATAAATAAGGATAGTTATGATTTCCCCTTCCCTTTATTCTCTCATTTTTGTTTAAAAGGAAAATTAAACACTATCATTACGTCTATGGAATCATGAGTTTTTTACGTGACCCATCCTACTATATATTGGCAACTTTTTTCTTAACATATGAACTACACATTATAAAAAAAAACTATTTTATGCCTCACTATAATTTCTCTTAGTTACAGAGACCATGGAATATTAAAGTAGTCCAAATAATTAAAATGTAAATTACGAAATGAAGAATAGTATTCATAATTTTAAGATATTGTCATAACTAGACTATTAATTAATTCATGAATTTAAATCTTGAGCAACAAACAATATTAAGAAAAACAGCTATGAAAATCTTAAATATCAACAAGCATGGTATCAGTCTCTTCATATTTTTAAAAATGGCTCATTTGGGTATTATTAAAAATTAGGCCAGGTTCGAGTCGGATGTCCTAATTTCCGGATGATTTCAAATTTTAACTGAAATAACCAAAGTATCCAGTTTAGTTTAATTGAGTATTTTCTATCTAAACTATTTAAACTTATCCTAAAAATCTTGGCTATAATCTGATTTGGGTATATTTATCCAAATCACTCATTTATATCAATAACTAAAATAACTAATATAACTGATTTATAATTTTATTTTTTAGCTATTGTTATTATTATAAGTATAGTTATAACTAACATATATATATTTATATGTATCTATATATATATATATATATATATATTCAGAATATACGGATATTCGTTCGGTTCTCGATAAGAGACATGTTGGGTATCGACTTTTAAGGTTTTAAAAAATGGACCCGTTCAAATATTTAGGTCGGATCTAATCGGGTTTGGTATCTTAATTTTTGCTCGGTTTGAGTCGGTTTTTAAGTGTGAATATTGTGTCTAAACTCTATATTATGTTATTAAAAATTAAAACACATAACTTTATAATTACCGTTCTATTTGAAAAAAATAAAAGTAAAAAATCTCGTGCTTTGAAAACGCGGGTCAAATCTAGTATGTCTTAAGAGATATAAATTAAGATTTAAAAAATAAATCAGTTGTTTTCAGCATAGATGAGTGAAAGTAGTGAGTGATGATATTCTTTAGTTTAGGTTTCACCAACATATGTTGTAGTATATATTGTATGTGTTTCTTAGGGTTAGAAATTCGAAAGCATAAATGTTTTTTTTGAAAAATTAAAAATTTACCTAAGTGTGTTTATTTCTGTGTATAGTAAACACTATTTACGTATAATTTGTTATTATTACGTGGTTAGTAGTTAATTTAGTCAATTTAGTTTAGGGTGGTAAATATATTTAATAAGGCAGACGACTTAGTCGGATGTATAGTATCAACAGACGATTTAATTATAAGTCGTCCAAACCGTATTTTACCAAATTACTTTTAAACCTAACCTTATTTTTTACCGGACATATATAAGATGTTTTTTTTTTACTCACTTTTTCGCGAAACTCAGAAAACCCTAATGTCGTTTCTCTCAAAGGTGATTTCGAGGCGATTTCGATCCGATACAAGACAAAGGTAAATCGAAGGATTCTCTTGCATATTTATGGGTTTTTATTAGGATGGATGTTGTTTTCCTTTACTTTTACCGTTTGGTTTTGTGTTTTCGACGATTTCGGGAAATTTTGGTTTCAAATTAGGGTTTCAAAAATTGGGAATTTCAATCGACTTGTTGTTTAGTTAGGTTGGATGTTGTTTTCCTCTCATTTTACGGTTACGATTTGTGATTTCAAGCAATTTGTGGATATTTTCATTTCAAATTAGGGTTTCAAAGATTGGGGATTTCAATCGATTTGTGGTCTAGTTAGGTTGGATGTTGTTCTCCTCTCATTCGTCTGGTCAGCTTTCAAATGTTCTACTGGAAGTCTTGGTAGACTTATAATTAAGTCGTCTGGAAAGTCTTTTAGGTGGACGACCCAGACGACTTAAAATAAAATGTTTCCAATTCGTTTCTTGTTTGCAGATGGCGAATCAGCATGAACCTCACTTCTTGAAGCCTCTGCTTCCTGGTTTCTATAGTGGCGTGGTATACACACACTCTCTATTTCTCCTCTGTTTATTTCCTTTGCTTATCTTCTCCTTTGTTGACTTGTAGACAATACCACTTGCCTTCTACTCAAAACACATAGAAGCCAAGCCGAACCAAGGAAAATAGACACTACGATCGGGCGCTTCACACCAAACTTGGGAAGTTATACAAGAAGGAAGAAGACTCACCGATGGTTGGGAAGCCTTCGCCCAAGCACACTCTCATTGCATCGGTGACATTGTCGTGTTTAAAAAGGAAGGAGACATGGTATTTCATGTGACTCCTTTCGGTCCTAGTTTTACTGAGATTCAGTATACACCTCCTCAAGGGGATGATGCTGCGGATGGTGCCTCAACTTCCTCGTCTCTTCCTAAATGATGGATGTTTGTCTTGCTATTTTCTTATTGTAATCTGCTTCTAGTGGACTTGTAATGGATGACTTCTATGTTGTTGTTCCCTTGTTTCAAAATGTTTGTAAACCTATGACTTATAATGGATGATCAACTTTTATAACTACAACTCCTTGTGTCCTCTATGTACAAACCATGGTAACACCAATTTTAATTATTAGTCGTCTAAGAAATCTAACACAAATTCTAATACAAATTCTTAAAACATGCTCATAAAGCCTGGACGACTTAGTAGACGACTAATATTTTAAGTCGTCTTGAAAGTCATCCAGCCGGAAGATTTGTCAGACGACTTAATTATTAGTCGTCTAACCCCATAAGTATTCTATTCAGACGACTTTCAACTAAGTCGTCTGGACGACTTAGTTGAAAGTCATCTGGTATAGCTATTCTTAAAAATAGTTTAAAAAGTTTGTAAAAAATATTTAAATAAGTGAAAAATTGAAATCATGTAATTAACACCAGTTTTAAAAGATATAAATTAAGATCAAACAAAATTTAATTATTTTTAACATAGATGAGTGAAAGTAGTGAATGATGATATTCTTTGGTTTTGGGTTTTCCAACATATGTTGTAGTATTGTATGTGTTTCTTAGGGTCAGGTTTTCGAAAGCATAAATGTTATTTTGAAAAATTAAAAATTTACCTAAATATGTTTATTTCTATGTATAGTAAACTCTATTTAAGTATAATTTGATTTTATAACGTGGTTAGTTAGTTAATTTAGTCAATTTAGTTTAGAGTTTAGGGTTTAGGGTCTGGACGACTTATATCTAAGTCGTCTGGTAAATATATTTAATAAGGCAGACGACTTAGTCGGATGTATAGTATCAACAAACGACTTAATTATAAGTCATCCAAACCGGATTTTACCGAATTACTTTTAAACCTGACCGGATTTTTTACCGGACATATATAAGATGATTTTTTTTTACTCACTTTTCGCGAAATTTAGAAAACCCTAACGCCGTTTCTCTCAAAGGTAATTTCGAGGCGATTTCGATCTGATACAATACCAAGGTAAATCGAAGGCTTCTCTTGCCGATTTAATGGGTTTTTAATAGGATGGATGTTGTTTTCCTTTACTTCTATTGTTTGGTTTTGCGTTTTCAACGATTTCGGGAAATTTTGGTTTCAAATTAGGGTTTCAAAAATTGGGGATTTCAATCGATTTGTTGTTTAGTTAGGTTGGATGTTGTTTTCCTCTCATTTTACGGTTACCGTCGTTCTCATCGCGCTTCTTTTTCACGTCTATTTTTGCAGTTCTATAACCGCTATGTCGAAGGCGAGTACATCTTCTCCGAATTTTCAGGTCAGCTTTCAAATGTTCTACTGGAAGTCTTGGTAGACT